GTAGTAGTAGTAGTAGTAGTAGTAGTAGTAGTAGTAGTAGTAGTAGTAGTAGTGTGGTGTGGTGGTGGTGGTGTGGTAGTGGTGGTGGTAGTTGTGGTGACGATGGTGGTAGTAGTAGTAGTAGTAGTAGTAGTAGTAGTAGTAGTAGTAGTAGTAGTAGTAGTAGTAGTAGTTGTAATAGTAGCAGCAGCAGCAGCAGCGGCAGCAGCAGCGGCAGCAGCAGTAGTAGTAACTTTATTTTTTTGTAAATTATGTTTGGGGTTTCTTTGTTTCATGGCTGATACCATATCATCATCGACTGAAAATATCCCTACATCTCAGCTCGCAATGATAACGTTCCAAGGAAATGATATTTGCTTTCCCTTTATTGATTCTGTGTGGACTGATGATTCATGCCTAATTGTGTACTTCCATCTCCCGCTTCTTTGACTTAAATTCTCTCGTTGCTATCTATTCAGTGTGAGATGTAAGGCAAGAAGAGAAATCAACATGGATCTGTCTTACCATCTACCACCGACCTTTTCACGAAAACCCAGCAACCCTATATTGGACGGCTACACGAACCATCTCATGAAAGAAAAGTTGATGGGGGCCAAGTCGTCTACGGCTAATGCAGCAAGCACAGAGACAAAGAAAAATAAGAAGATCAGCGACGTTGTGACTGCCAGAGATCTAGAGGACCGGTCGAGATCTCTGGTTCAGAAAACCGGCAAATCCTTGACTTGTTTGTTGGGCGAAGCTATGAAGTTAAACCCAGGTGAGTGTGCTTGTTTGCTAGTTTGGGGTTTTGTTTTTGTTTTGTGATTTTGATGGTTGTTGTTGATGTTGTTGTTGTTTGTTTGTTTGTTTGTTTCATTGTCTTATATTTATTTGTAAGAGGAGCACATGAGCTCGATCAGGCTCGCTTTTGTTTGTTTTGTTTGTTTGGTGTTTTTTATTATTTTTTTTGGGGGGGGGGTGTTGGGGTTGTTGTTGTTGTTGTTTGTTTGTTTGTTTGTTTTTTTGTTGGTTTTTTTTTGGGGGGGGGGTTGTTTTGGAATACCATAAACATGAATTAGAACTGGACAGTTTGTTTGTTGGGTTGTTTTTTTTTGTTTTGGGTTTTTTTTTTCCAGTAACCTTTATGCATAAACTATAACGCTGTTGTGTAAACGGATATTATGCAGCTGCATTCCATCTTCTTCCTCCAAAACGTTTTCTTTCACAACAAACGATCAAATGCCGGTGTTTTTCGAGTTATGGTTTGGCTCATCAGCGTCAAACGCTGAAGAAGTGAGTTCGATTACCTCGTGGATAAGTTGGGTGGGGGGGGGGGTAAATCGAGTATCTCTGTCGACTGGGGGTGCTATATTATCCCACTCCGACCAGATGGACCTTGATAGGCATGGTTGAAGCAGTCCAACTCATAATTTAATTATCTGAATTGTGCCGAGGGGTTGTAAAACACTTATTTTACCAAACGGTCAGACCCGCTCTTCACTTTAGCGAAAGAAGTATTGTTTTAACATTCCTGACCAAGACAATCCTACGCAGCTGTACTGCGAGTAAGGAACTGGAGAGTGCGTGTGTGGAGGGGGGGGGGGGG